ATGAGTGAAATGGTCTTTTGGGTGCCTGCAAGAGGGTGGGAAGAAATTTGGAGAGGGGCTGGTGTCCTCTACCAAATGGGCTAGCATTTTATAATGGCACGATGAGAACATTGTGATGTGCCACATCACTGATAGAGATCGTTATCAATAAGGGGTTTTGCAATAGAAACGTAGAGACAGAGTGAGTCAGAAGAGGCCTCCTGGGACATCTAGTCTGACCCCTGGCTCCAGTCAGCTCCACTCATGACTTCCCTATCATGTCCATGTGTAATACCATGAGTATGTCTTATAAAACTTTCTGTCTGAATAACCTAATGTCGCCAGAGCTTTCCCAAATAAAAATGCAATGATAAGTGGGGAACTATTGCACAGAGAGGCATACAAATATTCTTCTCTTTCATCCCCCAACATAGATTTGGGACAGCTCAAAAGCGAAGTGATGCATCCACTAAATGTCAAGAGCAGAGGCATGTCGTGAGCGGAGCAGGCTGGAGCCGGGGGTCAGACTAGTTGTCCCAGAAGACCCCTTCTGACTTGCTCTATTTCTATGCTTCTAAATGTGGTGCTATGAAAACAAAAATCCCCTTTATTGATTCGAAGCATTTTGTGGGACTTGTGGACAGAGTTATACGAATGCAAGAGCCCACTAGATGGCATCCTAGTGTTGCCTGAAGTTCATTCACAACATTTTGGACATGGGGTGGGGGTGGAGGGAGGAGCAGAGAAAATGGACCCAGGTGCCCAGAGGGTTTGGTTTTGGCGCCGTTAATAAGCCTCTAATTTGAACATCTGCTGCTGAAAACACAGCCATTAATAGGTTGTCCCTTTGCAAAATTAGAATAATAAAGGGTGTTCTTCTGAATAATGTTGGTGCTTGAACCTGAAGGTTCCACTCAAATGGTTGGAAAAGCGATCAGCTGGAAAGCAACGAGACTGTTTGCGGATAGAAGCCCAGCCAGCCAAAGGGGACAAAGCTCTAAGCAGTGCCATGGGAAGCCGATATCCCTGGGTCTGAAGCGACCTACTTAAAATACAGAATGCATTATCTCAACCCATTTTTAACCATTCGACAAACTAAATCGAACTTTAAGGAACTGACACAACTTGGTCTGATTCTGGAGACAGAAGAGTCATTCTGGAGCATTTTAGTTAAGAACGTGTTAGTCTATTTCTGGTGTGTTTCAGTTTCTCTTATTCAGTCTGTTATAACCCATTTTGTAATTAAAAAAAATTAAAATGCCTTATTTCATATTTCTTTCTCACAGAGGGCATTTTTATATGCATTTTACTCTAAAGTAAGCACTTTTGTATACATTGGCAGTGCACAGCTTCACATGCATTTGTATAAAATTTTTGACCCAACAACTGCATTGCAAAATTGGAAGAAGTGCAAAAACTGATAGAAAGCAAGAAGAAGAAGCGCAAAGGGAGTGCAGAGCAGCTCAGTTTGTTTCAAAAGGAGGACTGAAGAAAATCCTCAGGCATTCCAAGCGCTCTACAGCGGCTGGCTTTGTTCGTGTGCCTTCGACTGGAGGAAGATGCACCAGGGATGAGAGAAGCCCCAGGTTCTTAATGTCTCCAGTTCAACCAGTGCCATGTTGAGATAGGCTCTTGGGATCCTCCAGACAGCATGACTCATGGGGAATGCTGGGAATTATAGACCGCTACCTGACCGAACGCTGCACTTTTAATTGGCTAATCCACTTGGCTGTGTTAGAGTGGCTTTTGGCTGGGTGGGCAATGCTGGGAGTCGGGAGGTGCACCGTAAAAGGATCAGCTGGTAGGAGGCAGGGCAGACTCGTGCCTGCCTGAGTTGCGAGGAAGTCAGAACAGACTATTCAGAACCAGGGGGTGGGATCATCTGGTCTGGTTCTTATGCTCTTGGGAACCAGCGGTAAGTTAGTTGGTGAAACAGTGCATGAGACGCACCAGCTCAGGTCCAAAACTGAGTAAATTTGGAGAAATAGGACGGCTCTACCATTAGGCAAAGTCAGGTGTTCTGAAAGTGAAAATTACCCACTGTTCAATTTCTTTACTACTAGAAGTTTTTTGTTTTTGTTTTGCCTTGGATGTAGACTGGTCTTTCTTATTTATTCCATTTTCCTACTGCCCAACAGCTGAAGCTCTTTGTTAGCATACACTGTGAGTTGGGTGTATGGTCACAGGAGTAATTTGTTTCTCCATCTTGGGCAGGAAAGCATCTTGAGCTGACCACTGGATAGAATAAAGTCCTGGATCAGCATACTTTTTGTGGCTTTTTAAAGCGTACATTTTAAAGATTTTCTTGCCATGCAATATGCAGGAATGTTTCCCATCCTCCATGGGAAAACAGCCAAGCCTGCCGCCTGAACCAACCCATTCCAGGTGGCTTTGCTACCTAATCCTGATGACTTCCTAAACTGGTCACGCAAGCTGGATGCCATGGCAATAGTAACGATAATCGCATCTATGCTCTGCCTTTGCACCTCCTGCAAAGATCCCCAGAAAGCTCCCACGGTCCTCTTCCTCTCCATTTCAAGAACCGCCCGTGAGGTTGTTGGCTGAGCATCAGTGGCGAGTCCACAGTCACTCAGCAAGCTTCATGGAACCAGATCTCCAGAGCCTCACTCCAACCATTGAACTGCGATCCCCACTGACTCCCGGTTGTCCAAGCCATGTTGAAACTGCCTAAAGGTCCCAACCACACGCATGTCTTGTGGGTGTGACTTCCTTAGCCTCGTGTGAAAAGAGCCTTTCCTTTTGCCTTTCCTGAATGTGCTTTGGGGATGACCTCTACGAGGACAATGCCGCCATATCTACATGGCCTTCATACCATGCAAGGTCACTTGAAACAGAACAGAAATGCAGGGAACATGGCAACCGATCCAGTCCCTAAACAGCTTCCCAGTTTGACATTAGAAATCATATTTACTGTCTGATGGTCACAAACAATTAAACAGATCTGTCTTTTTAAAACAGATATCCAGGAATCTACATCATTTGCAGGCATTCCTTTTCCAGGGAGCAATTTCCATTTGCAGGAGGTTGCAATAGTGTGTTGCAAAGTTAGCCCTGTGCCAGCAGAGCACCAGGAAACAAGCAAGGACACTTTGCCTGAAACAAGGCCAACGTATCTACAAAGCAAGGCGTGGGGTTTTTGGAAGGATTTATATATGCTGAATTAGACTTGCAAATACTTCAGCATGCATTCAAAATACATCCCACCTTTAAACACTTCTTTCTGAATGGGATTATGTCTTAATCCTTTTAGTTCAAAATCTCACCACTCCAGCTACCCATGAACATCATGTTATTTATTTATTATATTTATATCCCGCCTTTCTTCCACTGTGGAACCCACAGGAGCAACATGCAGTTTCCAGGTGGTCTCCCCTCCAAGCTCAGGCCAGCCCCAGACCGGCTTAGCTTCAAGGCCTTATGTGCCTTCAGACCATAATCTATGATACTCGTGGTATCATATTACTATGTGATGCTGTAATTCGTGAACAAGCCCAGCAGGTATGGGATGTCTACCCATACCTGGGGCAGCAACTCAGGGTGGCACAACTCAGGGTGGTAAAACCTCTCTCTAGAATGAGAGAGGTGTTACTACCACTCTATATGACTCTGGTGCACCCACAACTGGAGTATTATGTTCAGTTCTGGGCTCCACATTGCAGGAAGGATATAACTAGGTTGGACTCAGTGCAGCATACGGCCACAAGGATGGTGGCTGGATTGCAGGGAAAGCCATATGAGGCAAGACTGAGGGAACTGGGTCTCTTCAGCCTGGAGAAGAGGAGACTCAGAGGGGATCCATTGGTGACATACAGGTATGTGAGGGGGCGTCACACGGAGGTGGGTGGAGACCTGTTCTCCCCTGCAGAGGAAGGCAGGATGCGCTCCAACGGAGCAAAGCTCAGGGAACCCAGGTTCCATTTGGATGCCAGGAAGCACTTCCTGACAGTCAGGACCCCGAGGGTGTGGAATGGGCTTCCACAGAAGGTGGCTGAAGCCCCATCGGTGCGGGTGTTCAAGGATAGGCTGGACATGTACATGGTGGGCCTGTCGTGAGTGGAGCCAGCTGGAGCTGGGGGTCAGACCAGAAGGCCCGAGAGGCCCCTTCTGACTCACTCAGTTTCTGTGTTCCTAAGTGGCAGCTGCACCATAAAAGGCTCAGAGCAAATTGCACACTGGGAGAGAAGGTGTGTGGGAGAGCAGGCTAGTGAATGGCACGACCGGAGGCTTGATCCCACCCAAGCCAATCAGAGTACGAAGTCCCTGCTTACACCAGCATGAAGCTGCCACATGAGTGCTACACCTAAACATGAACACCAGTGCCAGGGTCCGTCTTCCAAACAAAAGGCAGACAGGAGGACTTCTTTCCTCGGGAGCAAGTCACCGATTTGTGGATACAATTTGTGGTGATGAGCAGTGGCCCTTGGCTGACTTTCAAAGGACATCAAATTCAGGATGCGCAACTTGTGGCCCTCCAGATGTTTGGGTGGGCAATCACCAGCCGCTCCCCCTAGGCCAGCCTGGCTAGGGAGAATGGGAGGGCCAGATGTTGCTTGCCCCTTTGTTAAGCAAAATCATGGAGGTTAAGCCCATCAGCGGCTGGATGAGGCTTCCCACATCACAGGCAGCACATGACTTTTCCCCAGGTCCAGCTACGTGAGAGACACTCTTGCCATCCAGAGACACACTGCTGGGTTCTTCTGATGCTCTTGAAGCAAAAGTTTCCGATGAAGAAGGGGATTAATTATTCTGGCATCAGCAAGTCCGCTATGAGAAAGGACTGCGGAAGGTTAAATTTGTTACGCACCTGCTTTTGAAGGAAGGTACCCCTTAATTTCATCATAGGTGTAGCCAATTTTTTTCACCATGCATGACGGACAAAGGAGGGAGTACGATGCTGCATCGCACCAGACTAACAAACAGGCACATCTGCCCTGCCCCCCGCCCCCAGCAGTGATCTAAATGCTTGTGCCTCAAAGGAGAAACTCCACTGCATCACTCACCCGTTAGGCAGTCTTCTGAGGACATAGAAAGCTGTATATGAATGCTGGTACATCTGTGGAACGAAATTAAAATGTGAAAAGAAGGGATTAGTAATGTAAAGTGTCAAGAAGCCAGTTATTGCTACAGACCTAGCATAAAACCCCCCGCGCTCTGCTATTTGTTTTATATTTGATTGCTTTTGCCAGGGTGGGTGGGGGGAGATGAATAGCAATCTTGCTCCGTCGTGGAGGGGAGAGTGAACGGATGCCATTTGTTGTGTATTCTTTCTGCCTCGCACCTTATTAGAACATTTGGCGAGTCCTATTGCTCCAGATGCTCTGTGTCATTGCCATGGATACCATGTCTTTGATTATACCAGGGGCACATGCTCCCAGCCATAGCTAAATTTGGAACAGCCATTAATGAGGACACCTTGGTCTGCCAGAGGCAGGGTGCGCAGCTCTCACTAGACGCACCAGGGAAAGAGCCATCACACGGCTCGAATCCCTTGCACAGACGCCCAGGCCTCCCGCTTGCTAGCGCTGGGGAGAATGCCCCTTTCCTGCCGTGATGTGAGAGCTTCTTGGCTTAAAGCTTGCTGCAGAATTTGAGATTCGATCTTGCTGCTTATTGTCAGGGGTTCCAATGTACAGCGAGTCAAAAGAACATGTATCTTTGACCCCAGCAAGATGCATCCTGCAAATCCTGCAAGAACGGTATTAAGCAGAAAGACACATATTAGCATTGGCCAGGGTAGAAAAGAATTCATCAGCCGTGCTAACAAGGATGCTAGTTCTCACTGAGTTCTTCATGGAGAAGATGAAAACTTTGAAGAGGTTTATTGTATGAAAAGAAAATTTCTGACTTTCTGTAGGCTGTTAGAAAGGACTTTCATTCATTTCAGAAAGCCCAACAACCAAATTAATATTAAATCATTGAATTTTTTATATCTTTATATTGCTGTTTCCTTAAGAGCATATTGCATCACAGATTTTCTTGGAGCAACTCTGGATATTCGGGGAAATCAGTGATCTCCAAAAGAGAATTCTCAGCCACCCCACAGAACTGCAGTCCCCAGGAGTCTCTGGGTGATTCCATGACAATTAACATTGCATAGATGAGATATAAGTTTATTCTGGGTGCTAAAATAGTGTTAGAAGAAGGAAAGGAAGCAAATGTAGACTGGTAAAGTCAGGTAATTTAGTGGCCATCTTGTCTAACCACTGGATTAAATTCTGATTGTTCTACAGCCAAATATTGTATTCTCAAGAGACAATCTCAAAGAGAAAATGCACATTTCTTGCATTATATCTCAAACCTATTAGTGAACCTTTGGAAAATGGTATGGTAAAGCTGGGACATAAATTTATATCTATATTCATGCAAGGTGGACCAGCCAAATTAGATTCCCCCAAAATCCTGCATCTGCTCTCCTAAGGAGACACATATCATATAAACTGAATATTATTTTCTTCATAGGTCTTTGGATACACCTAAGACTCCTGAAAGCAATTTCAGGAAGATGTTCACATTAAACTTTAAATGATGCACACCTGGAAAATGATTGGAAGTGCTCTTCTCTTCTCCACTACCCTGAAACAGATGATCTGATATCTCTTTGATATGGAAATGTTGATGAAAACTTTTCACAGTCTAAGGGAAAATAGCTCCAAGGCTGTTCACCTATTCCAATGCAAATTTTCTGCTGATGTGAAACTGAATTTGGATTTTCCTTTTATTTACCCACAGAGGTTTGACACTAGAATTCAAAATATGGCAGGAAGAAGCCCATTCCATTCTTCTCTGAAATGTGGCAGCTCATTAAAAAAATACAGATCTATCTAAGATTCACAACCAACCAAGAGAATGACCCCAGTGGCATGTTGTCCTTTTGGTTTAGGGAAGTAACTAGTCCAGGGGTAGGTAAGCAGAGTTTTTTCTCTGGCAACTGAGCAGAAGGGAACACAGAACTGGGTTCAATGTCTTCCTGGCTGCAAGAGACTTAAATGCGATTGCAGAACAGAAGCAGGGGACTTCTGGCAGAAAAGCAAGAGATGACAGAGGGGTGGTCCTGAGCCCTTTGCCTGGCCTTGCAGGGAGAGCCTGCAAGGAGTCGTGTGGGTTACCTTGCTAGGTTTGCTTATTTATTTCTTTAAGCTCCAACTTAAATAACAAAGAGTTAAAAACCTGAAATTCCACAGAATAGTGATAAGTATAAATTCAAGAGAAATAGTCAAAGAATACAATGCACTATAATGAAAATAATACATGACGTAGGAGTCAATAGAACAGCTATAAAACCTAGAACTAGGTCTCTAAATGCCCATGAGGATTGAAAGGTAAACCTCTTTGGGGAGTTTATTCGGCAGGTGGGTGCCACCACTGAAAAGGCCTCTCTCTCAGCCACCAGCCTGGCTTCTTTTGGCATGAGCACCCAGAACAAGGCACATTAAGACGACCCAATGGTCTGAGCAGGGAAAGGCAAGAGGAAGCATGCTTTCACATAGCTCTGGTCCCAAGCCATGGAGGAACTTATAAATCAATGCCCATGCTCTGAGCTGGGCCTGGGAACGGCCTGGAAGTCAAGCAATTTCTGGCTGAGGGAGCGACTCGGCAACACTGCCGAACCTACCAAACGGGTGGCTGGACGTGCGCTTTTCTCACCTGGCATGGCCTTACTCCCACGGCCAGCCCTGTGGAGCATAACTATCAGTGGCACGAGCTGCGTTCTGACTAGGAGGCTTGGTGTGAAGCAAGACATCAAGGCTGCACAGTGGAATTTGAGTGAGGTGGCACTGACTTTCCAGGTGCTCGCTGAGCCCCAGGCAGCCCCATACATTCCTCTGCACTTTCCATCCTTCCGTGTCTGGCCTGGATCACCAAGCCTTGTGCTTAAGCATTGCTCTCTCCGCTCCCCAGCCCGTGTTCCTTGCCTCCCAGCTCCTGCTTTTGGACCCTGGGTTGGCTCCCCCGATGCAATTTGCAGCAAGCAGACCTCAGTTCCAGCTGCCCCTGCCCTGAGCTCTAATACATCTTGCCCCACCCAACAGGACTGCTTACCAGTTGGGTACCTCATCTGCACCCCTCAAAACAGAAAAGCCACGGAGAGCCAACTGCATGTATAATTGAGCAGCTGGAACCCTGCATGCAAAATATTGGGCAAGGGTTAAAAGAGCAATGATTTCTAAAGTGTATGAACAATTACAGAATTATACAGTTATGTCTAATGTGACAAATTATATTTGTGTTAAGGATAGAAGGCAGAAGTCAAACACATTTAATTAAAATGGTTTCTGTTTATTGGCTTTTGTCATTTAATGTTGGTTCTCTGCAATATTAGAGGAAATATATTTGAATGTGCCGTGGTGAGGAGTTCGTGATGAATGCAATATCGCAACAGCCTTAAGCCAGTGTGCCGGCTGCAGTGGTTTAGCGCACAGGGCTGAGAATCGGGGGATCTGGGTTTGAGTCCCTGTGCAGCCAAAACTCACTGGGCGACCTTGAGCCAGTCATGGACTTTCAGCCTAACAGGGTTGTTGTTGTGAGGATAAGATGGGGAGGAGAAGAACCTGGTGAGCCACCTTGGATTCTGTGCCAGAGGAAGAAAAGTGAGATATAAATGCAATGCAACAACAACAACACCTTAAGAGAAGCATTGGAAACCTCTTTCGCAAACAAAGAGGAGGAGGAGAAGGAAGGGATGTTGCTAAGCTATTTAGGGAATAATTCTTAATAGACTTTTAGTACCTATGGCTTTGTGCTGTTAGTGCTGCAGTGGTTTCCCCTGAAATATTGGTCCAATAGCACTGACCAAGGGCTCTCTCTGCTCTTCTTTCCTGGATACTGAGTCGCATCACCAGGATGACTGGACTTCTTCCCAGCATCTTGGCCAGGATGCAAAACAGGCTGCCTTTCCCCTCCCAGCTCCCCAGAGTGCTCCAGAGAACATGTGTGGAACTGGATTGACGGATTAGGGACAATGCAAAAATAATTGCTTCTCCGCAGAAGACCTCTGTGCAGGAGATGCTTGAACGATGCCTCTTTTTACCACTTGTGGCATGAAGTCATGTTGGAGCCTGGGGTCATGAAAACACTCCTGCATCTAATGGCAGGGGTATTTAGCCCTGACAGTTTCGATACTCATGAACAGTGTTGCTAGACCAACTAAAGGGCAAGCAACGCTGTCAAAGATACCCAGTCAGATGTGGTCTAACTGAGCAACTCAGAAACACATCTGGACATAAATGTTACAGCTTTCCAAACTGTGATCCTGAGAAGAGCAAGCTCTTTCGGTACGTAGGCAACTTGGTGGTGCAGAGTGCTATATTATCGTCCACATTTTCTGAATCCTGTCCTTCTCTTCGTACACATATGTGTACATTCTGGTAACGGCATGGCTTCCTAACCTCCGAGGCCATCAGTACATTGAGATGCACACTGTGATCAAAGCAGTTCTTAATCTCATTAACTTGGTGAGCCCAAATTGACTTAGACCTGGGCAGAATTCAGATTTGTGCCTGATCAACTGCACCAATAGAAGTGCACATCCTCACCCCCTCCAGATCCTTGAAAATGCCACACGGGGCCAGTAGATCTTGCTGAATGGGTAAAGCTGTGGTGTGCAATTGAGGACGGATCCCCCAAAATTGGCCAGAGGTCCTTTCTTTTTGCAGAAGAAATATTCTGGACCCAAGCCCATGTGATCAGGCTAACTTGAGTTGGCTACCATCATCCCACACCAATCCAGGTGACACCTGGTCATAGCTAGGGAGGGTTTATTTAAAACATTTTTATGCCGCACCCATCGCAACAAAGCCTCGGGGCAGCTTACAACAAAAATATACAAAATTATACAAAAACAAAGTTATACACTAAAAATATTAAAACCCGGTGCATCTCGGCTTAAAAATTTTAAAATCCTACACAATAAATTAACACTTAAAATAAGTTTTAAATAAAAAGGTCTTGTTGTCTTGTTAGGTACCAAGCTTGTGGCAGATCTGCCTAACTGGAAAAAATATTATCAGCAGGAACATCGTATCGGCAATATGTGGTTGATACATGGTAAAGTTC